ATAATGGGCTAATTAGATTACATTATTTCGGTTCAAAATTTTGTAACATTTTGTTGACATATCTCAATAAGATAAAGTCATTTTAGAAAAAATCCGAGAATGTCATCTGCTTCAGCAGCTCTTTGGCTATCACTTCATGTCATTAAAGCAGCAGAATGAGTTGAGAAAGTTGATTAAAGTTGCGTAAGATATTGCATAATAAGTTTCATATTATCCAGTAAAACTTTTTTTTCTATAAACAGTAGCTCTAATCTGAGTGCATATTTGGAGTCTGTATAGGAAAACACACCAGCATGCAAAATTTGGTGGCATTCTGACCAGAAATAAAGAAAATTGTTTCAAGACCCTAGTGCCCCCTTAAGCGGTGGAGATGCATTCCCACAACTTCTAGCGGATCCAAGCTGATCCGCTAGAAGAACCACTGGCTCTGCATTTCATTGACCATAAAGCAGTAATAATGAAGCCGAAACGCAACCCGGAACTCAGTACTACCTACAGGGGTGGAACTCATGAAATGCACTTGGGAGCAGCCACGGGAGCAGCTGAAACAGCTGTTTTGGAGCAGGTTGGGAGCAGCTAAAACTACATTCTGGAGCAGGCTAGGAGCAGCTCAGATCAGTTTGCATTGCACTTCAGCTTGTATCTTACACAAGCACGAAAGCAATTTCAATTGTGCTTAGCAGCAGAGATGAACATGAGCGGTTAGGGACCTAGGTAGAGGGGATAACAGTGTAATATGTGCGAAAACTTGAATCTTTGTCAGCCTTAATGAGAATCAAACAGCAAGTACTCTATGTTTCTGAAGATAGCGTCCTTGATATTTTCTGAGTGGCTTTCAGACGCTCAAGATGCAAACCAGCTCTGCTTATCGCACAACCCACACGTGCTCGACATAGTAATTATATGTGCGAACCACGTGACGTGCGTAAGCAACGGACGTGCAGTTGCACGGAGGAACAGAGCAACAAATTTCAAGTTTATCCTATTGTGCAACTCGATATCGAAGCAGCAGACTACGATTAACGAAGTTATCTTATTTGAAGCGATAAGCAGGAGCAAGCTTAAAGTACGCCGAGCAGATAAGTAGAGCTGCTGACCGGCAAGGTTTCGGATCGGACCGCGTTTCAGTTCTATCAAATCACGATTTATCTTGCAAGAATGCAGTTCCAACTCCTAACGATGAAGCACTAAAAGGAATATTTTGCTCATTTGCTTTCGACTGGATGACGCCCGGATCCCGGGCCGCAGAGCCTCATGCAATCTGACGCTTAACGACTCGACCTCACCTCGGCCTACTTGCCCTATCGCTTATGGTTGAAGAGTAACAATCCAGTCGCAGGTGGTGTAGCGCTTAGAGTTTTTTCGCGCGCTTCCGACTCGGGATAGACAAGGGGAATAAACATAACAAGGGATTGCAAGGCCGACCAGGCTAAACGCCCTCATTGTTGACAATCGAGTCGATAAAAACCGAAACCAAGACAAAATAAAACGTTTTTTTGGCGCACGTTTTGCGATTTGGCGCATAATGGCGCGAGGTATTGGCTTTGGCGCAGTTTCTGCAACATGGCGCAGGATGGCGCAGACACATGCGTCTGGCGCAAAATGGCGCAAATGGCGCAGCCGTTCCACCCCTGTACCTATGAGCAATAAAAAAATATCAGCACCATCAGCACTACCCATGAACAATAAAATCAGTATCATCAGCACCACCAGAGCTTCGCCCCAATCAACATCATTCACCACGTGGAGATGCGGTAATTTTTTTTGTGTTAGAGTTACGCTTGCTTGTACAAAAGCAGCAGAGTCACAATTAAATTACTTCTGAAGTTTTGCACAATGTTGAAGGGTGCTGTGACTGCAGGCCGACATTTAATTCCCCACGCAGAAAAAAAGCGGTATTGTTCACTTTCGATTCAGCATCCAGCTCACAATGAGCAATACAATGAAACGTAATGAGTGGCCCCTCACCTATTCCAGCGGCCCCCTCGACTGTCGGTGCATATATTTCCCGTTCACCCTTAAGCTGCGAGTGCAGTCAATGTGACAAGCGCAAAGTCTTAGAAACATTCTTCCGCAGAACAAGCGCTCGCACTAGAAAGACACGTCTCGAAGCCAGAAGCACGTCCTAACTCGAGCTTGTAGCTTTAGCCATAGTCTCAGCTTAGAAGTGGAAGGAGCATACACCTTTCCAAAAAAACACCCTTAGGCCGCCGCCATGTTGCCGATGAGGATGCAACTGGTGCGGCACTCGAGCCCTCTATATTAGCTAAAAATTTTCTCTGCCACCCCCCCAGACTGTTGAAACCTGCTCAGCGCAATTCTACACCCATGTTTTGCGGTTTTGCATTCAAAGTTTTTTGGCTTAACTTAAAAGTTTCCACTTACCGTATTATCCAGTGTATGAGTCGCATCTTTTTTTAAACATTTTTCTTGGTAAGTCCTGTACAACAATGCGGCTTATATGCATTTTCTTTTTTTTTTTTTCTAGGTGCGATGCCATTTTTTTATGCGCTGCGTGCCATTTTTTATAGAGCACCGTAACTATGTAGCTATAGGAGGTGTTGCCCCTACCAGGAAGCACTGCTGTTGCCACACTTTTATACACTTTTCATTACTGAGGCAGAAAGCGGGGAATTTTACGGTTCCTCCGAAGAGGCTCAATCTGGATAGGCAAGACAGTGAGAATAAAGCTTTCACAGCATGTGATCAACGTTGCCTAGTTTAGCCACGGCTTCGTATTCTTTTGCTTCAGTCCAGCATCACTGAAAGGTAAGTGGCCGGTATACAGGAATTGCAAAATATTTTCTCGCGTCTTTCTTAGTTTCTGTTTGATGAGCAGTTTTCTGCCATGTTCCAGCTGTGTTGCTGCATATAAAAGGAAGGATTGTGGTCGGCACGCACGGCCATCTCAAAAGCATCACGTGCACAGAGCGTCCAGTTTGGCAATTTCAAAAAGCTGCCCTAAAATAAACAAGACGGGAGTTATATGGTCGTAGTTCCCTACAAACTCCCCAGATGGCAGCAGGTCCCCGCAAACGTGCCCGTTAAAGCAGAGGAAGGAATTTTTTGATGAGCAGTCGCTGTTGTACTTGTACGGTGCAACCTCGTTGTCGTTGATTCCCTCTCAGTTGATACGTTTTCCCAGCTGTTACTTTAAAAGCGCCGGTCCCGTTTTACTTCCATAGAGATACATGTATTAGTTCCCTCCCTCTACCATTTGCTTTCCAGGCTGTTATGTCCAAAAGTGTCGGCATAGCGGCGCCTTGGCACGCCGGGCGCCAAGCTGCCACGCTGGCTTTGAAGCGAAGCTAGTGGAGCAAAGCTGAAGCATGCAATGTGGGTTACACGGCAAGCGTGGGCACGCAGACGCCCGTCTTTCCTTTTAACCCTTTCCCCCTCTTTTCCTTCTGTCTCCTCGCTGGGCTTTGCTGAGCTCTGCCACAGCTTCCCATCTTGCCCGGGTGTGACCTCGGAGCACAGCTCGGACGGGGAACGAGCCTGGCGAGGCGGCAAACGCTCATTCTCTTTCATCTGTCCTCCTCTTTCTCTGGCACAATGTGTACCCACACGCACGCTGCGCTTCTCGTTTCTGTTCTGCCCGATTGCGTGAACCGTAGTGTTTCCGAATACGTGCGCTTTGCGCCCATTGACGACGATCATGGCATCGCGAAAAAGGAAGGCACTCTCTTTTGAAGAGAAGAAAGTGATGAAGATGTTGAGCAATAACGAACGATTACGCTGCGCCCACGTTTGCGGATGCGATCGTTGCGTTGGACGCCTTGCGCTGCTACGTAAATGTTCACAACTGCGCGGAGAGTGAGAGGGGACTGCGGCTCCTGGAGAAGAGGCTTTTACTGCTTAACATTAATTCGAAGTGGCAGGCGGATATTGCACACTTTTGTGAACATGTCCGAGTCCTCAACAGTTCTGTAAGTGCACATAAAATAAACAATTGTATAAGAGCTGCTTTTTATCTCATGTAGAGCCCCCCTAAACGCGCTATCGGTTGTTACGTTTTCCCGGATGATACTTTTTTTTTCCGCGGTCCCCGAAAAAACTTATCAACGAGGTACTATTGTACATCAGCAACCATGCGAGACGCTCCCACGCTGATGTACAGGCACGTCAGTGACCGTGAAAGGGTTAAGATACGTTCTTCCTTGCCAAACAACAGCGGAGCAGGATAGCCGTGCATTGTTCAGTAGAAAATATTAGGTTTTGCAGTGCTGTATGTTTTAAGGCTACGAGTATAGCTAGTCGGTAGATGTGAGGCACCCTAAAGATTGATTGTAAAATGTGTTTTCCCATCTTACAGTTACATATAGGAGGTTATTCAAGCATGGAATGCATTACAACGGATGCCCTAACTCCCAGATATTTCTCCATCCGTGCGTCCATGCACAGCACATAGCACACAATGTCACATTACGCCAAAACTTGATGACATTACACAATGTTTCATGTTTTCTCAACAAAGGTATACAATCACTGAATGACTACTGTATTTCATGTATTGCAGGACTTTGGAGATAAAGGTTGCTGTCAATGTTTTCCCTCTCTGCACTATTCCACTAATTACTTTGTCGTTTATTTTCTTTCGGTTACGAAGATTCCTATTGAAGGACACACTTTGTGGGTTATGGGTATGAATGCAGCCCAACTCGTGCACCAAAGGTTTTGACACCTTTTCCCTGGAAAACCTATCTAGAGGGAAAAATAAATGTTAAGGAGTCATAAAGCAACACCTCAAGATTCAAAACCAGTACCTCACAAAGAACATCCAAAATTCATTTCATGACCCCTTCAAGTTAGAAACTACGCTCCGTCTACTTCCAATTCAGACCTCTCTCTGGTTAGGGTGACGACCACCGCTCTTCCAAGGTGCACCCATGGCCCAATGCAAAAGTACACACCCAACATTTTTTCAATCCAGCCGGAAAGAATGCCGACCAGAATAGAAGAAGAGAAAAACAAATCTCGGAGCAAGAAGAGCTACGTACAGCCTCAGCCTTGACTGTCTCCCCGGCTGGCTGGGTCGGTCCCGTGGGAGGAACCCGCTGGGGCGTCAGGGCACCCGCGCGTCCCTTGTTCTGGAGGTACTGCTTCACTTTCTTGGCGTGGCTCTTGCCCACGTAGTGAGCTGTGGCCTGCAGCCTTCCGTTGAGCTTGGCGTCGCACAGCTTGCAGCAGAGCGGCTGAATCAGCTCAGCGGGAATCCCGTCCCGCCGCGCCGCCTCCACAGCCGCGGCCTGCGCGTCCGTGCCGTTGTTTCCCGAGGAACCCGTGCCGTTGGTGGTGGCGCCGTAGCTGGGTTCTGAAGAGGTGAAAAACAAATGCGTGAGGGCCCGATCTACACGCTCCAAAGCGAGAAGGGCAGCACAAAACTATGTGCACAGGGAGAAATGTCCACGTCTTCTTACGATGTCCCGTTTCGAACGCACGACCGTAATATCTCGAGGATGCTCCATCCTGAGAGAAAACCCACCCCCTATGTTTGGCCCGGTATGATCGTTTTTTTTTTTCTTCTAAACACAGAAAGATAGCCCACTCTTAGCAATCAGCGTTCAGATCTATGATAACCTTGGCGTAAATGCGGCTAGTTAGCTATGGCGGGGTGCGGGTGAACATTGCTGACTGGGAAGTACCGTCATCTTTGCTTCGCTGCCCCTCGCTGCGATAACAAGTCTGGAGGGATAAAGCGATCTAAAAATGGTGGTTTCTCAGCCTTTCTCGATCTTGCGCCAAAAGATGGCCCTCTCCCTATTTTCATCTCATTTGCTCTCAATTTTAGGTAGGCAATCTCTCGGGATGTTATGGTAAATACTAATGCAGCGACTGCTAATCATAGGCAACTCCTAATCTAAATCCAACTTGTAAGTGCACCTCATTTGCAAATTTCAAGTTGTTCTGCTGCCATACACAAGCTGACATTAACCGGTGGACGAACGAGTACCAGGAACAAGCACATCAGAGATGCGAAACCTCTCGCCATTTGTACGTTGGCGAGACATTCTCATCAAAATATTGCTCAATTATGAACTCGCAAACGGGTCAGAAATGTCTCATTGATCCATTACAAAAATCCCTCGTCATAGCCAAGTCAATGGGAAGAAAAACAAATTTAATATAAACCATAATTCAATTAGGAAAAAAAACAAAAAAAACCAAACAGTGACAGCAGTTTTGAAGGAGGACAGGAACACTGCAGAAGACCCTAAACACATATTTAATCAAACAAACCATGGTGACAAACAGCTCCTGGCACTTTTACCAAGCAGTCAAAAATATGGGCGGTCTTGTGTTAACCCACAGTACATTCACAGCGATAGCTGCAACAAGTCACGGAGAAGTCGTACGGCATTGGTGTCGCGTTCACGCACCGTGGGGTGCGTGAACAAAAGCGTAAGGAACAAAATAGACATCTGGCCGTTTTGTTCCAACACTTTCCTATCTTGTTTTGGAGCGCGTGAAACCGTGTCTACCAGCAGGAAGAGCTCTTGGCATCGACAGAGCTACAATGGCATTTTCTTATCGGCCATTTCTTTTTTCCAGGGCGGGTGCTATTAGGCACTACAAAAACGCCAAGTGTAGAGTGGGTTGTTAACGTTGTGGCATCGCAAGAGCACTGTCACTGCCACTGCACTACACTTTGTTCCAAAGCAGCTGTAGAATGCTTCGAGTCTCTGAAGTCGTCGGTATATCTCGGAGTGCCACTCTGACGTCTCTTCTCTTTACTTTGGCGGCAGACAAGGCCTATGGTAGCAGCATCTGTGGCAAAAGTAACAACAGGAATGTCCGCATCAACAAGCGCAAATGAATTGAAGTTATCCTCAGTGGCTATGGCTTCACCAACGTGTTCGCACACTCCCGTAGAAATCGTTGCAGCTCTGGAAATCATATGCTGGTTCGGCAAGCATGTGCTCATTAAAAAACGGCGTGCGTAAAACAGTGGGCAATGCACGATCATCAAATCACGGGCACGCTTTCTCTCGCGTGAGAGACTTTTCTTGAATCTGTCAAATACATCTTCCTTGTTCTGCAAGGAGTGTCAAACAGTCGGTGACAGAGTGTCAAATTCCTCGGCGATTTCGAACTAGAGCCAGCCACTTTTTTCAACCTTCCGTCACCCATCTCCTCTGCTTTCTGTCCACTGTTTCCCAGTTTGCCGTTGACCTTGGTGGAGGAGGGGGAGGGAAACTCAAGGGTCTCCCGTGCGCCTCCGTGAAGGCTTGCATGCTTTCGGCACTTTGGCCATTGGGATAAGCAAGGTCTACTGTTAGGATCAAATAGTAGATCCTTTAGAAAACACACGCATCACCAGTAAGCACCAGAAAGAATTTTGGAAATTGTGAGTACTACTCGTGTACTACCTTAGTTCGTAAGGTTTGTCCAAGCTCAAACGTATTAGAACAAACATTTGGGCGAGTTGGTAGGGGATTGTCCCGTGTATCTCTCTTTTTTTTGTCCTTGTCCCAGTCGCACTGTTATTCACTATGAGCTCAGAAGTGTTGCTTCTAATGAAAAATTGCCCGAGCAGCAGCGGCCAAAGAAACGACATGGTGAGCAGTAAACAGTGCTGCGCTTTGACGTGCCCCAGGCCATTACACCATGCCCATTTCTTGACTACTGCTACGGGCACCTAAAAGCTTCTTCTGGAAACATTCCATGCATGTCAAATCGCCGCCAAACTTCTTTCGGTCAACCATTCTTTCAACGCCTCGTCGATCTACATTGCTGTCTCTGCAGGACAGAGCAGCACAACTCACAAAATTCCCACGCTCCCTCGCACACGTGCCGGGTGAAGACACGCACCGATTACGAAAGCTGTCGATTGTTGCCAGGTGTCAATGCCTCGCATATTCGGGTGGCTGCAAGCTGAGTTTTAATTGCAACTACCCTAACACTGACCTCGAAGAATATAACATTCTCGTGGCACCAGGATTAAGTACATATAAAAGCCTTGCCTCTACCCGGTGGCAGCAAAAGGCATGCAGAGAAAGGCCTACTCCCAAAGAGACATTCCGTGGCTCCTAGTTTGATGTGCACCCCGTGTCTTAGAATCCACTTTAGAAAAGAAGTCGTTGGACGTGCATATTATTGGACGTGCCAATATCAAATGTAGAAGCGCAGGTCACAACTGCCTAGTTGTAATGTCTCCAACCTGTGTACACAACTCGCTCGGTGAAGGTTTATTCAAAAACATCAGAGGCCAGATTCACGAAGAGCTTCTTATGGGCGATTCACACACTTGCATTGAGTCCGACCGAGTTTGAGGGTTGCCATGGCAACCCTTGCGCTCTGTCGGACTCAAGGCGAGTGCGTGAATCGCCCTTTAGGTTACGACAACTTAGCTAAGAAGTTCTTAAGTTAAAGGAACACTCAAACCCTCCAAAAATTTTTAAAATTTTTTGTAAGGCGATTTATTATGGTGTCAGAAGACCACCCAGTCAATATTTTGCTACGGCGTTATGTATATTTTTAATGAAGTCCAAATATGCAACTGTTTGAAGCCGAAATCGGACTGGGGAGGAAGAAGAAATATAGAGAAGGAGGAAGTTTGCAGAAATCACGTAACCATGCAACATTTTTTCTTTTTTTTCCAATTAACGTATATGCAGTTTTTTAGTATAGACGCTTTACACACGCGCCAAATTACAGCCGCCATGGCTGACCTTCTCTTGTCTTACCAAGATGCCGAGCAACTGAAACGGTAGTTAACGATCCTCTACAAAAGCCAATGCTTTAGAAAAGGACACAGTTGAATCTAATGTGGCAATAACCTGGCCTGCTATGGTAATGATGAAGTGAAATAAACGAAATAAGAGGAAACAAAATCTGAAGGTCAGTTATGGCGGCGTCCATGCACAGCTGCTGCGAAGCGTCTATAGTTACAAAAAATGGGTATGCTATTTCTTGTATATTTTTAGTATTGAGTGTTGGCCTTCGATGACCCATGACCTCGACTATCTTTGGTGGTAGTGTCTAAACCATAGAAAACGGCCCGTCACCATGGAGATAGTGAGCGCGACTCAAACTGGCCAGTTCTTGATCGTCGGTTTTCGGACAGAAAGAAAATTAATTTCGAGCCGCAAATTGTGTTCTAGATGGTTGGGCTCTCATATGTAATGTACAAATAAAAACCTTGGCGAGCATAAATACTTTGCCAGTATCCCCTTAAGAACACCGTAAAAAGAGGAGAAATCTATATTCACGAACACGTTCTGAGGAAAGCGACGTTCTCAGACAGAAAAACTAGAACTTCCGGTGTCCCGCAAGCTACCGATCCTTGCGAGAGTGGGCTGTTGCTACGGCAACAGCGTCTTCGGCAACACAAACAACCAATCGGTGAGCTTGCCATGGTTCAGAACACATGGATTTTGAATACCAAACACAGGTGACCTTTACGCCAACGCTTGTCTGGGAATCGTGTCCATGCAGTGAAATGTCGACACCACGACGATTTAAACAGGCCCGAACGCCGAGGCAGCTGCTTTTGTAGACTGCTACGAGCTCGATCACTACTAAGTCAACACAACTGTCATCTATGCTAAAAGAAGACGGCCTTTGTCGTTTGTCTGCAAAGTGGCGCAGGCGCAGATAGAAACAAATCGCCGCGGAGTTTTTTGTGGCCTCAGAGATGCGGGAACAAGCCGACAACCAAGAGGATATGTTTGAACTACGAGAGTGCCCAGCAAGAGCTACGCGTTCACACTCGGAGCAATCGCGTGCGTTTAAATGAAGCGTTGGATTCGCGCAGTTGGACCGGCATCACGCAGCTCCCACGAACTGTTCTAGCTCGACGGCGTTGACATACCGCTGAGTCAGAATAAAAATGGCATACTAATCACAAAGTGCACGTACCATATGTTGCGAAGGTAATCCATACGGCGTTCATTTGAGCTTTATATCGCACAAAACAATGAGATAGAATCAAAGAGAATCCCTTTTCGACAACAGCGTTTGTCACTGCTGCCTCGGAAAACAAGAGGATGAGACTGATTTCTTAATCAAAAATTGAGTTCGGCGATCACCATTCATATGGGAGGGGTCCACAAGGGTCGCACGGGCATAACACCATTCGGCAAGCCAGTCTGTCATGGGCAGACAGTTTTGGCCGGGGACTGTCGGAGCAGGTCGGAGTGCCTCGCTAGGTACATATGCTGCCTAGCTTGCCAAGATCGCCCTCGGCGGTTGCTCAGTCGGTGGGATCATTGCCGTCGTAGCTCTTTCCGGACGTTGTGGATCCAGCATTCATGTTCATCGTGGTCGGCTTCAAGTACAATAATTCCTCGTTATAACGAACTCAACAGGATGGCAAAAAATTTAATATAAGTGGTAATTCGATAAAAACGATAGAGCCAACAAAACAGTGCCAGCAGCCTCGAAGGTGGACGGGAACACTGCGGAACACTCTGAATGTATATTTAATCAAACAAACCTCGGTTAGGAACAACTCGCGGCAGCTTTACTGAGTATGAAAAGAAATACCGTATTTACTCGCAGAATGAACGCACTTTTTTCCGAAAAAATCGATGCAAAGTTAGGGGGGGGCGTTCATTATGCCAAGTAAAATTTTTGCGTCAGTATTTACTCGCATAATGAACATAGTGAACGGACCTTTTACCTTAAGAAATCGAAGTAACTTCTTATCTCTTCGCGCGCGCCCGACCCAGTAACCAAACTAAGCTGTGCAAAAAAAAAAAAAAATCTTTTTTTTTCTTAGTTTCTTGGTTGTTTTTTTTTTTTTTTTTTTTTTTTTTTCAGCCTCTGGCAAGCTGTTTTGTTTGCTTAGGCGAGGGCTCTCCGCTTATCTTTCTTATCTCCTTGCGCGCGGCGCGCGACGCACGACCCCCCTTAACCAAACTGCGCTGTGCAAAAAAAAAGAAAAAGCTCGTCTTTTTCTTTTTTTTTTTTTTTTTCTCAGTTCCGTAGTTGTTGTTGTTTTTTTTTTTTTTTTTTTTTTTCTTTTTGCCGCCTTTCCTAAGCCGTTTCGTTTCTCCGCTCCTCTTTCTTACCTCCTAGCGCGCGGCACGCGACCCCCTTAACCAAACTGCGCTGTGCAAAAGAAAAAAAAGCTCCTCTGTGTTTTTGTTTTCTCTTAGTTCCTTGGGTGTTTTTTTTTTTTTTTTTTCTTTTTGCCGCCTTTCGCAGGCGCTTCTTTTTGCGCCTGTAGGTCGTGCGGCTGCGGATGTGACGTATTTTCGTGACGTCGCGCCGCTTCTTCGCTCCTTCCGGGCGCGCACAAGAAAGTTGGTTGATTTCAACTTCTTCTCAACGCGCACAAAAACGCGCGGTGACGCAGGAGGACGCTCCTGTCTCCCGGCCAATCGGTGGAGGGCAAGCTAGTTCCGGCTCCGCGTTTCTCGCCGTCTGGCTGCCCTCTCCTCCCCCCCCCCCCCCCTTTTATTCTCTTCCAACATGACAACGCGATCTCTCTCTCTCTCTCCCTTTCTCTCGCCGTCTGGCCGGCCAGTCTGCCGCAGTTGCACCTTGCTTGTGCGCTCGTGCGCGCGTGCGCGCTCGCCCGAAGTTTCGCCCGTCCAAACCAAAGCGCACGGTTCTGACTCAGAAAGCGCGCCCGGAAACAGCAAAAACGCCACGAAATGCGTCACATCCGCAGCCGCACGACCTACAGGCGCAAAAAGAAGCGTTGGTTTGGATCGCGCTTTAGAGCGCTTCTCCGCTTCTCTTTCTTACCTCCTTGCGCGCAAACCCAGACTGCGCTGTGCAAAAAAAAAAAAAAAAAAAAAAAAGCTCCTTTTCATGTTTTTTTTTTCTTGCTTCGTTGTATCTTTGCAAATTTTTTTTAACGCCTTATGCAAGGCGTTTTGTTCGCCCACGCCGCCCATGCATTCGCGACCTCGCTGCACCAGGATAGAAAAGTGCGTTCATTTCGCGCGCGTGGGGGAAGGGGGTCAAAATTTTGACATCGGAGGTGGGGGTGCGTTTATTGCGCCAGTGAAAAAAAAGTCGAAATTTTGAGAGCCGACTTGGGGGTGCGTTCATTACGCGAAAGCGTTCTTTGTGCGAGTAAATACGGTAAGTAGAGTTTGCCGATCATTTCATCCGGGCATCAGTTCTCGAACCGCTCCAGCACCGCCACTGCGCTCCACTTTGTCTCAAAGCAGCCGTAGGATGTTTCGCGTTTCCGCAGTGGTCGGCATTTCCTGAGGTGCCTCTCCGACGTCGCTTCATGTTTACTATGGCCACATGCAAGGTCTCCGATCACAGCATCCGTGGCAGGAGCAACAACGGGAACGTCCACATCGACAAGCGTGAAGGAATCAAAGTTATTCGCGGTGGCTTTGCAAACATGTTTTCACACACTCCTGTAGAGATTGTTGCAGCTATGAAAATCGAGCGCCGGCTCGGCAAGCGTGCTCGACAAATAAATCCGACGCACTCGAAGCAGTTGGCGATCTTTTATCTTCGGGTCACGGGTGCGCTTTCTCCTGCACGAGAAACTTCTCGAACCCATCTAATATGCCTTGCTTGTTCTGCAAAATGGTGGGCAGTGTCGAACAGTTGATGCCGGAATGTCGAATTCTTTGGCGATTTCGGACTTGGGCCGGCCACTTTTCTCAACGTCGCAGATCTAAGCGACTTTCGTTTAACACTCCCAATCTCCCATACGACACAAGTGTCCGTGTAGTATGCCGCGGGCACACGCGTCATGGGGTCCCGAAGGGATGATATCCTGAAATACATTTTGAATAATCCGGTTAAAAATGCACGCATTTTTATCGGGACTACGTTGAACTTCGGTAAAATCGACAATTTGAAACAAGCGATTATGTTATAACTGTTGGTCGTCGCGACCAAATAGCTGAGCAACGCTGTTGGTCATGTTGATTTGATCGTAAAAAAGTGCGCAAGACACCTCCGGAGCCGTTGTAGGATTCCATCCTAACCTGCGCAAAACCTACAATGATTTCATTTTGTGAATCCGAATTTGTTCTCGTGTTTTGTCGTCCGCACATTTGTGGCGTAAGATCGTTTCGTGAATCAGGACTCAGAACCAGAGCCTTGCAGCTTTCCCAAGCTGCAAGTCGGTACAAGCACCTAAAATGTGGAACTTGCATTGATTTTGGCAGCAATCTTTCATTCCCTAGTTGTGCCGCTCAGATTGTTCAGAGAGTACGAGTCACCGGAGGAAGCATGGACTCACTGGTTGCGTCCCCACTGGGCGTCTCGACCTTGGGCTTGCTCGGGCTTGGGTAGGGGCTAAACTTGGGGGGCCGGAAGCTGGGCCTGGGACGCATGGCCCCTCCCGGGCCCCCCCGGGCCCTCAGGAAGTGGCCAGGAGGCGGGGGAGGAGGTCCAAAGACCCCCATGGGGGCCCGCACCATGGGGGAGAACACCGCCGGAGGATGGGGAGGAACCACAGGGGGTCCGGCAAACCTGGGGTGTGGTGGCCCGGGGGGAAAGCCCCCGTACGGGGGAGGGGGAAACATGCCTCGGAACATGGGTCGTGGCGGCCTGCGGAAGGCTGCGCACAAGAAACAAAATTAGTGCATCTTAATCCTATGGATGAAGTCCGGAGACACAGAGTGTACGCTGCATTTTAAGCTGCAAGAGTTAGCCTGACACGCAAACAGTGCACAACCGTGCGACACCACAACCGACGACCTGGTTGGGACAGTATGGTGTCAAGCCATTGTGGCACCTGATGCCACAATATGAAGTCTTGGTGTCACGTCAACTCTGTCCCGATTCCAAGGGAGATAAGTCCGTCAAGTTTGGCGGGCATGTGAAGGTTTTTTCGTGGCATCAAGTCACATTTGCCAGGGTATCCCAGCCCTTAAAGATATTCCGCATTAAAAAGCAGCAAAAAGTTTGGGTGAACTTGATGCCCCATCGTCCGAAAATATTCAATACAACTTGAGTCCAAATGTCTTCCCAAAAATTTTTGAATTCGTGGCTCTTTTTTTTTTCTTCTTGAACTGGCCAACATCTTCATGTTTTCTTGGCATTCATTTCACTCTCACAAACTTTCCTGGAAAACTCCTATTAATAGCACTATTCCAAACTCAAACTGCCATTCTTGGTTTTCTACACCATAACCTTCGTCTCGCGTCCTCATCTGTCAAACGCCTTGCGTACGTCACATTAGTACACCCAAAATTATAATATGCATCACCAGTCTGGGACCCTCAACTTAAATACTTTGCATCTGACACAGAATCACCTCACAACCGTGCAGCTCGCTTTATAATGTCTCAGTACTTCAGGTTTGTTTCCATCACTGAACTTAAAAAAAAACCTTTGACTCCTTATGTTCACGCAGGTGTATTGCTCAACTTTGCCTTTTTTGCAGGTTTTATTACGATTAACACCTACATAGCTCATTCATCTTGCCACCTCATCGCATATCCGCTCGGGTTGATCTTCTTCCTACCCCAAATACAGCACTATATTAAAGTCAGCAAGCAACGTGAGGAAACCAAAAGAATACAGAAGACAGGATAGATGCTGAACTGTATTCTTCTTCAGTCTCTTCCCGTTGCTCCCCGACTTTAACCATATATAATGCTTACCAACTACATCAGCTCACCACCCTTCTATGAAATACAGCATTCTTTAAATAATTTTTCTTGGCGACATCCGTGGACAGGAATGGCCTGCCCAAATTCACTGTCTCCACTCAAGACATTGACTTGTACCACAAAATGTTAACATCACATGTTCTGTAAACCCCCTTACTTATGTAATACCCTGACTCCAGGGTTCTAAGGTATTTAAAAAATAAATAAACTCTTGAACGAGCAAAACTAAATATAAATAGAGCACTTGTAGGTTGCTCCATTCTCCTTTTTATGAAAAGTTGACTGTTCGGTAAGAAAAAGGCACTCTATTAAGCAGATAAAGCACTGTATGCAGCAAACACTAGAGCACATGGAAAAAAAAAAAAAAGTGGAGAGTTGTAAAAAGTTGGAGTTGATCTGAATGTGCATGAGATTCCACATATCCAACAGTGTCTGGATGTCATTGAGATCACCCACAAGCCCAATTTATTTCTTCATTGAGTATGTTTGGCAATATTGGGCTTTCCAAATGATGGCAGAGTCTCCTTCGACAAAAACAGTATCTCTTAACCGAGATTTTGCTCTTTCCTCTCTTAAACTGCTTTGATATAAAACCTTAACCACAATTCAAGTATGCTGCTTCACTTTTGAAACTCCATTCTTGGATGCCTCATTGACTTGTCGGAATCCTTTCAAAACTAACTTAAAAGCTTCGTACTTCCTAATGATGATAGCACTGCTAATGTTACATCCAGGGGCATAGCCAAGGGGGCTGTTCAATTCACATAACACCCCCTGAAGGTTTTAGCAATCTGTCTCTTTTTTTCTGAGGAACTATTTCTTTGATCGTGTTATCCCAAGATTGGGGCCATATTTTCAGGCCCTCCTCCAATTGCGCATGGACTAGCCTGCACATTTCAAGGACGTTATTCATAATCACTGCGACAGTAGCGTAAAAACTATGTACTGAAATCACGCCACTGTCCGCCCTCTCGTCTCCGGTGCAACACTGTACCTTTGCGTAAGCATGGAGAAAGTGTACTTATTTTTTTTATGTGCATATGTGCAATTCATATTAAAAAGTCCGTAATATAGCAATCAATTATTTTGTTTTATGTATGCTTGGCCCTCCTCCCCTCCAACAAACCTCCAAAAGGAAAGTCTGGCTATGCTGGTTACTGCCTTGCAAAGCGCATTATCATTACCCAATCTTCCATTACATTAACAGTTTTTGTGTTCACGTTTGCTTCCCAACATTTACCACTATGCTTCCCCCTTCTCAGTGGCGTACCAACTTGTTTGAGTGGGGGGCAAACCAGACCCCCCCCCCCCCCTTATAGGGCCTTCGGGGTCAGTGCCCTTGGTATCCCTTGGACGCCGCCGTCCTGTGTTTCCCCCGCCCCGCCCCGCCGTCCTGTGTTCCTCCCTCTCCCCCCCCCCCCCGTTGGTACGCCCATGTCCCTTCTAGCATGACCTATTAACACATGCAGATCATGGATATAAGGTTGCCAATGTCAATATTTTATTTGTTCATGCCTCATACGCTCCTAACGGGAACTATAGGGGGCGCTTTGAAAAACGCGAAAAAGGGGTTGGAGCAATTTTCCGAAAAGCAAGACGGCCGCCACCATAATTGCTACGAGTGGAACATTTGTTTCGCTCGTCGCTGTAAATGGGACTGCTGGAACGGTGATATTTGGAGGCGAGTGAGATGTTCACTAAGTTTGTGCACGAAGTGTGCCAAGTTTCATTAAGACAGCAGGTGTGAAAGTTATGTTTCTAACGAATAAAGAAATAAAGCTGTACGGGATATCCAATATTGGACCCAAAATATTGTGTTATAGCAGGCTGTGCAAAAAGCAGATTTGGGCACACAGGTGCTTGGACTTGACAGTAACATGATACAGCACTTATTATACCAAAAAGAGGTGGCATAGAGAAACCAGCTGGAAATTTGGTTTGGGCGGCATAACTCAATGGGAACCGGTTTTGACCATGAAAGGGCTGTCAAGAGAATACCACTCGTCGTGGGAGGTGGACACTTTACAGGTAGGAAGGGAATAGTGGACTGTACTCTCAATTGAAACAACTTTACGAAAGGTGGTTCTAAAGCCCAGAAAACAAAGTTGTCGGCCAACATACGGTTTGGCCGTCAAAGGCTTTTGCGGTCAGCTGTTGTGTAATAACCTGTTGCGCGAGGTGCTGATTTTCGGCACACAGGTACTTTGACATGACCGTAACTTGACACAACACTTATTATACCAAAAGGAGGTGGCATAGCGAAACCAAGTGGAAATTTAGTTTGGGCGGCGTAACTAAATGGGAACCAGTTTTGACCGTCAAAGGCTGTCAAGATAATACCACTCATCATGGGAGGTGCACACTTTACAGGTAGGAAGGGACCAGTGGACGGTACTTCCAGTTCGAACAACTTTGTGATAGGCAGGTTTAAAGACGAGACAAAAAATGTCTATAGAACTCGGGGTTTCAGCGTTTTCACATCCAAAAGGAGGCTGATCAAAAAAGAAAGCACACCACATAAACTTCCATACTCAATCGTCGATTCTCCAGTGATTCCGAGTTTCACTGTAGTTTTCCTTAGATTCATATTTGTCTTTTTTTTAACCGTTTAAATCCTTCTACATGAAGTGTAGATTGCGTGCCATTCTTGTGCGGAAATATCATCGACACGTACAAAGGGGACAAAACTTCTTTGGAGGGTATTCCTCTAACGAAATTGGCACCACATACCAGCGAGTGTGGGATGGCATTTCAGTTCGTCCCATCGGTGCTAACATATGTAGGCGTCACTGGTACGAAAACAAACGAGGAGCGCGAAGCGGCAGTGTAGACTATGTGAGCCGTGCCGACACAGTGGCAGATATGATCGGGAGACTAAATTTCTCCCGTAGTACGGCATGGGTCCATCGTTGTCACTGTCCCACAAAACATCGGCGAGGTGAAAAACTGTAAAACTTTGTCCCCACGAGATACGACGCATAACTATAGAAGTACTTAATGACGCAGCACCGGGAGCACTTCATGCTGTGAACCCAGCGCAACCGCACCGCTCCAACTTCAATGCGTACCAACGTACGTGGCGTGGTTTCGTTTTCTGTGGGGTTCTCACAGCCTACCTTCGGTAACGGCTGCGCGGCGGCGCGCCAGTCATGTCGCACGGAGTGTATAGTAAATCAAAATTATCTCACCTCACCTCATCTCATCTCATCTCCTCCCCCCCTCTCCTCTCCTCCCCTCCCCCCTTCAAAATCCCATTGCAAGAAGTGAAGATGCAGATGATTTTAAGAATGTACTTGCAAGCAATATGCATTTGAAAAACCTTACTAAATGTATTTCTTTCCATATTTTAAATATATAAATTTTTTTTAATTCTCTATGTCTCTCTGTAATGTTTCAGGAACTTGTGAATAAGAAAACAAACAAAATTGCACAACACATCACAACAAAAGCAGAACAAGGCAAAGCAAAACACAAGCAGTGCGAAAGACCTTTTGCAAAAATCCAGAAACGTTGCAGGCGAAGTGCCATACGCTCCGCTCCCCCTTGCCCCCGCAGTATCCACCACGTGACACTGAAGACAGCGAGAGGGTAGGGCAGTTGCTCGTCTGCCCTCGCCTGTCTGCCGTGGTCTTCAAGGTCGCCTCTCTCGTCTACTACAACAGTCCTACCCAACTTTAATAGAATTCCTTCTGGCACCACAAACGCCGCTCCATGCTTCTTCGCAAAGGATCTACTAGGAGAGAGGAATTAGAGGACTCTACACGTGCACGATTGGACTTCATTCGCGCCTCCCAGGAAGCAAGACAACTTGGCTCAGACATTCCAAGTCACGGACTGCTTGTACCGACAGACTCAAACACATGTTGCACTGCCAATACAGGTCCCCCCCACCCCCCCTTGAAACTTCCGGGTTTTTATTTAGCGCAACATAAATAGCTGGTTCCTAACAGCGACTGGCGTGGGCCAATTTGTCAAAGGTGTTATCATTCGTGTGGCTGGGTTGAGTTTGCAGACGGCTATTTCTGTCACCACTCAATGATTCACGCTCCCAGTCTAAGAGCGTGCACCGTGGCACCTTAACGCTCGCTGCTCAGTGTGGGGCACACCATTCGCGCCTGCACCCCAATCGATGGATGGCGGCGTGCAGGAATTCCTGCCGTCACGGAGAGGCCCGTTGCATTCTTAACAATGAATACAGCAACCGAGGGGACGACAACGGCAGGGAGGTCTTCAGCGTGAGGTTCCTGAATTCCGCAAGACTTTGGCGTCTTGTGACCCTTGAGTGTCCACGCGCAGCCAGAGCTCGTCGGAAAAAGGCGCCCTGCCATTCTCATTCTGCCCCTGCTTACAGCGACGTCACAAAATACAATGGATAAGAAGTATGATCCACCATAGCCGTGATTTATGGCCGTAGTGTCCAAGATGAGGACTGATACTAATGCGATCTACCATTCATTTGGAAATGCTTGCCAAATTGTTATTTTGAAATATTGATGGGAAAAAATGTCTTCCCAAATGCACAAACAATCGGAAAGACTCGAGCAAACCGCTTGCGTCCAATGGAACTGTGCTTTTGCATGTTTTTGCACAGAGCTGTTTACTTCTGTAGATAACCTTACTGTAAGTTTTGTGCATCGGCGTCACGCCTACAAAAAGAATACCTATCGATAAATGCTGATTGTATCTTTATAAAACTAACATCAATTTTTGACGCCCAATCCTGTTGGAAGAAGCTAAGTGGAACCTTAATGATACTTTACAAAGCAAAAGAACAAAACAAGAAACCATCTACCTGCACGTAACATTTGCACGCTTGCATTTTACACGTGTTAACGGGAACGCTGGCACCCACCAAAAGAAAAGTGAACATCGATACCCGTCGTGATGAGTCTGTCAACAAGTACTCTCCGACATACTCCATATAACGGTTCCATGTGCAGTTAGGTAGGAGTTCATGGGAATAGGCCTGTTTCTCTTGGCTGTAGAGTACACCGGACACAAACAGAAAAGAGGCGCCTCCCCGTCTCTTCCCCGCAGGGAGGAGTCGCCAATTTTCTTCCGGTCAAACCTTGTCAGCGTTACCCCAGCACTGGAACCACTTGGAGAGAGGGATGAGACTTTGGGCCGGAGCCATGCGGGAGGGAGTCCCAATTTTCCTCTGTCACACCTGTCCGCAGCTGTACTAGTTAGTTGCGCATAATTCAATTTTTCCTAGATAATTTCCAGCAATCTTCTAATCGCCTTTTGCGACTGTAATTCTTTTCTCTTCCATCCTTCCATTGTCGCCAGCAAAACCCAGGGCCCCGGCAAAATCGGTTTCGCCTTCAGAGAGGGCAGGGCGGAGCCCTGTTCACTTCAAAACCAAGTGCTCTAGTGTCTCGCTCTCATTATGGCAGGTGGCACATAATGTATCTGTCTCCTGAAATTTAGCCGTATACGTCCTCGTCCTCAAAACTCCCATTCTCGCCTTAAACAATAAAACCTTCCCAGTGCATTCTCAAGCACATTTTCCTTTCTTATGTCCTGTTTTTGTGACCTGTACATTGTTAGAACTGATTTTTCCTGCATTTTTATCTCCCACATTTTTCTTTCTGCCTCTTTAACTCCCTTCTCCACTGAAGTAGTCTGCTCAGCCCCATCACTAGTGTGCAGGTATTTAAATGTAAGCTTTTGGATTCGGTTTGTTCATTTTGTGTTTAAACTTTTCATGCATAAATACTTGAATACCTACCATGCCCACGGTGTATCATCCATTTCCGTTAACCTTTGTTAAAATTGCAACTTACTAATTGCCTCCCTGCTCTCAAAAGACAACCAGCCCATGTCTACCTCTACTCCGTCATTTGGTGTCTTTCCATGTGCTCCCAGTGCCAATCTGCCTTCGCTTCTTTGTTGAATTTCTAATCTTGATTGAACCTCTGATTTCATGCATAGTACCACATTGCCAAAAGACAGTCTTGGTACCAACACTCCTTTCCATATACCCCTGACCACTTCATAACTATTATAGTTCCATAGTGCCTTGAGCTTCACAATAAATTAATTTCTTTTCCCCTAATTATATTATCTTCATGTTCATCTAGATATTTCCTTCAGTCATTGAGCCAGACTCCCAGATATTTGTATTTCCCTACATGGTCTATTGCAATCTCGTATCCACAGGGGTTCCCCCTTTTCATTGTTAAACACCATAACTCAAGACTTGTCAATACTAAAACTCATACCCAAGATGTCCTCTTTCTCTCCACATATTCCAGCTAGTTCCTGTAATGGATCCCGATAAACCTGCCATGAGAAATATGTCGTCCGCATCCATCAGTCCTGGAATATATAACTCACGTCAAAACCTAAGCTGCTCTGTTTTAATTTATTTTCCATTTCACTGAAATATATCGTGAAGAGCAGAGGTGACAGTAGACAGCCCTGCCTGAGCCCTTTTTATTGCTGCAGGTTGTGTTCTTTCTGTTTCCCATGTTACAACTACCTTATTGTCTGTGTGCACCTGCTGAAGAAACCTAACCAAATTTGCATATATATTATACTAATTTTGATTTCTTCTCCCTTTTTCTCCCCTTTTGGTGTTCCAAGCCTCTGGCAAGGAGGACCTTCGGTCTTTCTGCTGTCACCAGCGTCTCTGAGCGCAAATCAATATTATAATTATCATTTAGGCGAAAAACATTCGGCAGAGGTGATGTTCGCTTACCTATAAAGATTTGGATTTATCAGAATCAATATTAATATTTAAAAATATAATAATACACTTTATTTACACAAGGAACAGGCCGTTTCCTGGAGGGCGTGCGAGGCGAAGCAGAAAGGCCCGTACGCATGTAAATGCTTGAGCCGACAACCCGGAAGCGTGCCTATCTTGCTCACGCGATGATCATTCTATGGAAGCGATCAGGGGAGTAAACTCAAACATTTGGAACGGGTGAGAAAGCCACGACTCTGCGCTCTTCCCGGCGGATTGAATGGGCGCCGTTGGTTGTTCTAGCGCCTAGTTTCAGGTTGTTTGCGCTTCACGTTAATGACTCGGCAAGCCAGAAGACACCGATGAGTTCGCTCGCTTCTGAGAGAAGAGCAAGCAGGCGATCGATACACAAAAGCACTGGTAAAAATCTATTTGCAACATTAGGCCGTTAGGCTTAAACGATTGCAACCCTTCAACGCCAAGAACGCCAAGCAACAGCCGGCACGCAGCTTCCGCGGATCGCACGTTCCGTCGATGATCGAACAACTTACCAGGGACTCTCATAACCATGGCACACGCTTCACACGGTGTAACAGATGCTGCAGAGGTGTCAACTTTTTACCATATTCCGATTTATTTTTTGAGTAAAGCTATACGCACTCCGGAGTGCGCTTCGGACGGAAATGGCTATACGCACTCCGCTTTTCTCCTACAAAAAGAGTGGACACAACGAGTTTCCTAAGCGGTGCCATGGCGTAGTGGTTAGGGTGTCCGCTTCATACGCAAGTGGACGCGGGTTCGATCCGCGGTGGGCCTACTTTTTTTTTTTCTTTTTCTCAAACATTTTGTTTTGTTGAGGCATTTGGCGATATTTACGACATTTCCTTTTTTGCAATGAACAGTAAAAAAAAAAATCGAATGTTGTCGAGAAACTTTGCAGAACTAAATGGTATCGGACTCCCTTTCCGGAGGTGCGATCGGGGACAGCGGGGCTTGGATTGCCGGCTGGACGCCGCGAAGCGGCGTGTACTGGTTACGCTTAGTAATTAGCAGCCGATACTGTCGCCGCGAAGCGGCGTGAACGCAGGCGGGGGGCTGTGTTAACGAGCGCCCCAGTGATTCACGCGCCGTTCGAAAAGGGTGGCCCGAGCGGCATGATCTCTCGGAGGAGTGCGTATAGCCATTTCCGCGCGAAGCGCACTCCGGAGTGCGTATAGCTTTACTCTTATTTTTTTCTAAATTAGAATAAGAGACCAGGGCTTGTTTCGGATTCGCGCACCTTGGGAAGCGGCCGTAGCCCCCGCGGGTGGATGAGTGATGAGATGAATAGAAAGACCGCTTTGCTTTCACTCCTCCACTCCTCACCTCAATCACTAGTTGTACAGTATAAAAAACGGTAGCTTGCGCCATCTAGTAGTAGTGGTAAACGTTGGCACTTACCGCCTGTAGCGCCAGGAGTCACGTGCGCCCGTGCGCCGCAACTAGCCGCAACCCGCACGCCCGCACTGCTTTGTGCGAAGAGTCCGACCACAGTGAGTCCGACTAAGTTGGTTTGAACAAAACCATCAAAGCAGCTAAGCGAGTACACATTGAACGATCAAACGTTACATACGCTTTATTGTCGCCAGTTTGCAGACTGCCCTCGAACCAGCAAAGCTACAAATTGTGAGTCACGATTCACAGAACTTGTACGCTTGTACTCCAAAAGCGGATCTATCCGGAGAGGGTTCAAGATGACTGTACGGAGAGTACGGGTGTCCCGCTGTGTCGATTGCAGCTACGCTGGCTACGCTCATTGAAAGTTCAGCGGCCTCAGTTCGCACATTGACGCGTCAAAAGCTGGGTTTCAACGATGCCCGCTCTTCGAGTCTAGAAACAGAATTTGATAAGTCAAAGGTTGATGCAACAACCGCAGGACCGCGTTGCAAGTCGCCGTGCAACCAACTAACACCCAAGTCGTCGAGAGACGAGACTCGCAGCTCGGGGACGGGCAAGTGATCGGCATTGCTCTCAAGATGTCTCGACGCGACGCGGACAACCCCGCAAACAATCAGCGTGCCGCGGACAGCGACGACAACGAGTTTGGTGAGTTCGAGGGCTTCGAAGGAGCCGTCGGAGGCGTGGTGGCTCACCCGGCGCCTTCTCCGTGGGCCACTTTCCCCGATCTGATCCGGGTACGCACGAGCCCCGGCGGTACGGCCAACAACATCGCCAACGACGGCCTCCTACCCCAACATCCCGAAGCCGACAATCCATCGGGCTCCCGTTCCCGAAACCAGAATCCTCCGGATGTATCTCTGCATGCTAGCGGATCCAACAACGACGACGTCAACCTCCTCAACTTCATTCCCGGTTCCCACCAACGAGTCGGCGCTCTCCCGGACATGGCTGTCGAATCCGAGCTGCGACACTCGATGCAAGCGTTGTCAACGTCGTCATCGGCGTCATCTTCGAGCGGCGCTCCGCGAGACCACATCGCCGAAGTCCGACCGACCTTACGAGGCTCGACGCACGGTCGCGGCGGCGCCGAACCCGGCACGCTCGCCAGCATGGCTGCTGCAAATGTTCAGCGAACTTCAGGGCTACCCCGGAGTAATCGAGCGTCCTGCACGGCGCGTGACAGCTCTCCCGCTCGAGACTGGATGCCCGACGCGGCCTTGGGCGCGGACGCGGTCACCTTGGCGGCTTCGCTCCGCGAATCGAACGCGGCGTTGACGCGTCGACTGTCGGCCAGCGAGAGCAGGGTGCGCGAGCTCGAGTCCCAACTCCGCGAACTGAGGGAACGCGAGTCGCGCAGCGACCGGCACTCGCAGGACATCGTGCGCGAGTTGGAGGCGATTCGAGACACCCTGGCGGCGCACGAGCGCGCGACACGGTCGCTCGCGGAGCGCGTCCAGCTGGGCGACACTGATCGCGAAGCAGACACCTCGGGCGACATGAAACCCAACGCGAAAGGCTGTTCGGACTCGCGCACCAGCATGGAGGACAGACTGGCCGGCATCGAGGCTTCTCTGGAAAAGCTTTGCAACAAGGTCTCGAATGTTTCTGCCCTGGAGAGAGAACCTGCCGGAGGTGCGAGTGCTACGGGTCTGTTGACGAGAGAGGACATTGCGCAGGCGGTGCAGGATGTGCTCTCCCGCCAGTCGACGCAACAGAAGAGCTTGCTGGAGGACGAGAGGCGTCGCCTGATGCAGTCGTTTGCCGAGTCATTTCAGGTTGCCATCTCGCAGTTCCTGCAGTCGCTGAACTCCGACAACTTGGACAGTTAGCTGGCAGAGGATGGCTCAACGTTGTCGGAAAGTGCAGCCCGATGGGTCGGCTGCTTTTGTGATGGGCTCGGGAGGCGGTTCTGAATGGCATTGGGATGCTGGGGGTGCTAAGCGGAGTGACAAGTAGTGTCCACTTAGTGTGAATGCCGCCATACCTTGCAGACTTTGGTCTGAAAAGCAATGCGAATTTGTCTACAATAAGGTCAATGTGTCGCAGTGTTCGAGGGATTCTGGCAGCTTTTTGGGCTAAAATTCAAGGGGTGTGAGGACAGACAAAAATGTATATCACAGTTTGAGACTATTGCGGCTAAGCGGCGACGACAATAACAATGTGGCTCGTGACAAGAGCCACATTGTTATTGTCGCCGCTTAGCCGCAATAAGACCGTTGTTTTTAACTGTGCATCCCCACTTCTGAGTTCTGACTTGTGTAAACTCTGCCAGATTGTTTGTTTTAACTTTTCTTTGAAACTTTCTATTCACTGCATGTTCAGTAGGCCATACAAGTTTGCAAATGCATTAGTTATCATCTCACATGCAAGTGATGCCTCATTGCATAATCTGCGGTGTAATTAGGTTAAATTATGGACATTATGTTTGTGGAAGAAAATAGAAAAATACCGTAGCATTGTAGAAGACTATTTTCCATATCACTGGTGAAGTTTACACGCAGCCGAGCTGTAGTGTGCGAGTAGTATTTAATGGTTGCCCTAGCTATGCCCCTGCTGCTGAGTAGATACTGGTAGCAAACTGTAACTCGATGAATGTTAAGAGTGGCAAGCTGGATAGTGTGAATTGAACCTGGAAAAGATTGGTTCACCGAGGCAAGCATTTGCTAAATTGCTTTTAGATGCGGAAAGATACCTTGCTGTTTTTAGGCTTCCATGTGCTTCTGGCAACAAAAAATTTTTTTCCAACTAATTTTGTCATGTTTGCGGCAACAGTTATTTAAATGTTCGCCTGGTGCAACTCCGCTAGTAGCGTTATGGAAGGTTGCTCCGAGTATGTGCTCACTGTCAACGGGCTTGGCGATGGCAGCCAGCGAACATCGCCCGCAGGAAGACTTGCTGTTATGTATTGCGATGATTCAACCTGTGTAGGAAAGTATGGCCAAGAAATTGTTAGAACGTTATTGTGGCAGCTATTCCTTTTTTTTTTAATAGTTTTGGAACCTCTTGGTTAGTTGTAGTTCTACAGATATGATCTCCTCACTCTACTCTGGACACAGTTCTCATTTTGAATTAACAATAAACGTGATGTTAAAAGGCCACAGTCACGACCCATATATTCCTACTTGTGTTTGATGTTCCCCAAATGTTTGAGCGCAAAAAACCAGAAGAATGGTGGTGATGCAGAAGCAGTCTCGTGGACGTTGTGGTGTCTTGTTTGTAGGCTATTGTTCCACTATGTCGGAGAAGTGTCCCTATTCACTAAAACAATCAGATATACAAACATGCCTAACCTAGTCCTGTACGCAATTTTGTTTAGCGAATGCCATCGGCAATGTGCATCCCCTTTGCTTTTGGAGTCGAATCTCTTCCAAAGAACGTCAGTGCAAAGAGAGATTTCCTTTGGTGCACAAGGGTAAATAGTCTTGGCTTGCTATAGGTAAACAAGGCTACATACAGCAAGCGACTTACATAACAGGCAGGTTTTGTGGCATGGAAGTGTTTGGTGTAGGTGAGTTACACTCATTTGTGCTGCACGGCTGCCGGTAAGAGGAGGGTAAGAGGAAGTGGCTGCGCTGTGCCGAGCTCACCGCAGCGCAGTCACTTTATGAAAGTGCACGCTCGGCCGTTTGCCGGCAACATGTGGCTGTCCATGCCACTACGCCGCAGACGAACTAAGGGAGCGGAAGAACGACATTCATGCTTTCGCATCCACAACTCGTAAGTGCTTAGGTGTCCTCGGACTTTTTTGTATAGGAATTTATACATCTTCCATAATGAACGAGATGAATTACAGGGTGTTTGCGAGTACTGTTCGGTCATAAAAAGAACCATATAAATAGGCTAATGAATGGATTGCAGTGAAACTCTTTGCAAAGGTGTCTTTAAAGGAGCTGTGCAACAATTTTAACGTTGAAATAATTGGCATCTTCTACTTTTGACATTGTTCACCTTGTCACAAACGACAGAAAACACCTCCTTTCATCGAAACAAGGCAAAAATTAAAATATTCCCCGACCCGCAGCTGCGAGCGGCGGCCATGAGCAACACGCGGCATGATGTCAATGGAGGTCTTGTAGACACATAGCAAGTTGTGCGAATACCTGCTCGATAAAAGGTTATTTTTCTATAAATCTTGTCGTTCCAACATAAATATAAATGCGTCAAAAACCTGGTATCATTGACAAAACTTCTATTATACAGAGTTTTGGTGGCGCCATCTGTCCTAGGTCCACAAAACCGTCGGATCTATCTGCTACCGCGAACAGCCGCCAGAAGCCGGAGGGGGAAAGGGACAGGGCCGGACGGGTATGGCCAGACCCGGATGAGACTTTCCTCCTTTCACCACATTGTTCGCGCTGCGCCCGCCAGCGTGTGGTCATGCGGTCGCGAGCGGATGAGTTCTCGCTGCTCACTGATGGCTCTAGAGAGAGAACTTTACCGGAACCCCGCGCCTATCCTAGCGACGTCACTGCGCACATGACCCGAAAGACGATGTACGAATTGAGAGGTGGAAAAAACCTGGATCTTTTTCATTTTTTTTTTTTAAATAAAAACTTGGGTATCCAGACAAAATCTGTTTTCTGTAGTTTACTTCAGAAGTGTCGGGCATCAATTTCCACAATTATTTAAGCAAAGCCCTGAAATTGTTGCACAGCTCCTTTAAAGGGATGGTGAACTGAAATCTGGATTCCACAAAACACGGCGACAAAAGCGTGCAACGGGATGCTACAAACACCAAAACATCGCTCATACAGCGATATCTTGAACGGATGACCGTATTTTCTAAAAAAAGGAGGCGTATTTGACAGATATGCTGACGTCTTCTAGAGTCGAAAAGAAGAGAGAACGGCCTCGCGTTTTCGCCGCCTTGAGGGGGCGAAGCGGAAAGAGGAGGAAACTAGATATGTTCACATCAAGCGCCTTGTCGGCCTCGTTCATTCTCTACCAGTTTTTCCCAAAATATGGTTATCCACTCAAGATATCGCCTTACGAGTATAGTGTTATACGGATTGTAGTGTCGCGCCTATAGCTACTGCATTGTTTTCTGAAATCCAAATTTCGGTTCACCATCCTTTTAAGTGGAGCATTTATCGTAATCATATTTTGCGAGGTTTCTAAAGAAAGGAAAATGCAAGAAAAACATGTTATTCCTATGCATAGGGATAAAAACAAACAGACCGCCTGGTTCATGCTACCACACACAGGTGGCACCACATGGAACAAAAACAAGCTTCTTCGAGATAAACACTCGAAAGCAGATCTGACCAAGTAGCAGCATCAACAAGACAGTCTCTTTTTGTTAGGGGCGAAGCTCCTTAAGGTCTAGCCTTGTCCGGCGTCTGTGGTCGCATCGATTGCCATCCCATCTGTCTTCTTAAAAAAGAAAAAATGTTTGTGCAGTCGACAGGATTCGAACCAGTGCGGGGAGACCCCAATGGATTTCTAGTCCATTGCCCTTAACCACTCGGCCACAACTGCAGGACGAGTAGGCGGCTCTGAGATGTGGTAGTAACTCAAGAGCTGGGGATGTCTTGGATGAAACGTTGCATGTAGCCGCTCAACGTCTATACAGGAGAGGGCGCTGCGGTCAAATGCGTATATAATCGCTTTAAACTTTGCACGCATTGGCTCAACGTTTATAGCCAAGAGGGCGCTGCGGTCAAATGCTCAAATGCGTATATAACCACGTTCCATACCACACATTCTTTTTCTGTCATGGACCGTTGACTTAAGCGGTGGAGATGCGTTCCCATGGCTTCTAGCGGATCCAAGCTGATCCGCTAGAAGAACCACTGGCTCTGCATTTCGCCGACCATAAAGCAGTAATAATGAAGTCGAAATGCAACCCGGAACTCGGCACTACCTATGAGCAATAAAAAAAAATCAGCACCATCAGCACTACCTATAAACAACATCAGTATCATCAGCACCACCAGAGCTTCGCCTCAATCAACATCATTCACCACGCGGAGATGCAGTAATTTTTTTTTCTCCCTGTGCATAGGAATTTGAATTTTTAAATTTTTTTTCCAAAAACCTTTTTAGAAATTTTAGTGTGATAAATACACCATTTAAAGATACCTTTGTAAATAGTTTCATGGCACTCCGTTCACTGGCCCATTATACTCTTTTTTTCTTTACCACTGAATAATGTTTGTGAGCGCAGGGCCAATGAAACATTGTTTGACTAAAAAGTATGATCATCAAAAAAGAATCTCAAAACTGAACTTCAAGCAGTGAAGCAAACACCTTCTCCAATATTGGCATGTCAAAGAACACAAAACCTAGTTTTTCAAAAAAAGTGATTTTAATCGCCGCCTATTTTTCTACAGTCGCAAATGCAGGAAAAGCAGTAACCTGTAGCTGTTGACTTGACTGAAGACAACACTTGCAGGCAACAATCGTCCTCCTTTTCTCTGTTTGCTTGAAGGATTAAACTTTCAGTTGTACTGAGACACATTCCAGCTAGTTCAAGTTTTAAAAATCATAATTGCCATAAACGAGATTTCCACAGTACCTTGGACAATAGCTCAGCAAATCAGCCTCAACAGAAATTTCAAGGACGACTACAAAATAAAGGAACCCGTTTGAAATATGTGACTAATGGATGGACGTGCAATCAAATAAAATGGTGAATGTTTTTCCGGTATCAAAAATGCAAAGGGGCCTGTTCAAAATAATTGACTAAGGGATGCACAATCAAATGGATCGGCAAAGGTTTTCCAATATTAAACATAGACATTTTACCTTCAGAATTATAAAACAAACACTTCCCACAACTGGATTACAGGTTATAAAAGTAACGAAATGTAGCATGAAATTCATCCCTCTTTAGAAAGTAAAAGGTGACAAGCATACAATAGGTAACTGACAAATGTTGAAAATAAAAACACTTGGTAACCTCGTATCATACAAAGTTGCACTGCTGACAAAAGTCAAATTATGCTGCCATACATACTGGTTTAGCAAACTGCACAACATCTGTCTTTTTCAGACTCGTGTAGCAACTCAAAACTTTAATCACATCCACCTTCTTTGCATACTCGTTATCCTCAACAAAGCTAGAAAAGTTCTAGAGAAAAAAAAGTATACTTTCCTGATCTAATTTTTTTTTCATCAGAAAAACAGAAGTTACAGCAAGCAACAACCAACCTGGTAAATGCTCTCACAGCAGCAAGGACTGGCCAACGAGAATAGTCTTTTTCTTCCCTGCTGTTCTGTGGTCTGAAGCTTGCAAAGTGGTCTTTGCAAGCTGTAGATCACTTTCATGTCTCGTTAACATCTACAGTCGTTAATATAGACACCTCTGTTTCCCTCCAAACTTTTTTCATAATGTGAGTTGCCCATACTAACGAGACAAATATGCACATTTTTTGCCAGTTTGCCTCCAATATTTTGGTCTATACAGAGGGGTATTAACGAGACATCATGTACACATATTATCATACGAGAAACAAGCTCAAAGCTAATATATATGAATACACACGTGTAGCATACACATGTGTGGCGCACACACACACGCGTGCACACACACAAAAAATATGTTGCCTCAACTCACTTTGTGAATCGAGGCCTCCACAACAACTGGCCCAAACTTCAAAAGGAACTCGACTGGAACTCAAGCAAATCACAAAACGCCCGTGCCGCAGTGTCAATTGGTGGCACCACCCCCCGAGTTCAGCGCTTTGTTTGAAAGACCCTGTCGCACGGAGGAGGTGGCATTGCAAAGCCGTGGTGGTTGTTGTTCTCGTTCCTCCTCCTGCCACTGCCACTGGAACTCGCATCGCAGTTCTGATTCCGCAGAGAACGGCGCAAGCCCACACTGATGCGCGGCTGGCGCTTCGAACGACGGTTATTCATTTTTCCCGGGAAGTGGAGGCGGTAGAGGAAACAAGAGAAGTTGCGGCGTTCGTCCTTCGCCAGGACGACCAGGTTGTCCAGGTCCAAAGTCAGGGTGTAGTCGCACAGCTGGGAGATTTCCACAAATTGGCAACAACGTGTCAAAAAACTGCACAGTGACGAGCTTCGCTTGGTTACATACACATACAAACACGACGTAATGCAGATAATTTTACTTGTTTTGGGCTGGAGGTTACGTCTAGTCATTTTTAAGGACCACTCGAAGCATCGCGATAAACTAGGACGTTAATTCGGATGGCCAGCGGAACAATGAGGTAACTTCGCCGGCCACACGTAGAATAGGCTCGCCCATAAGCAAACGTTCCAGCAAAATGCAATCGGTGGATGATTTCCCGACAGTGGTGGCATGCAGTAAGTCTAAGCCTCGGGCAGTTCCTCAAACATCGCCGGAGTAGAGGATGAGTAGTATAACCCTACGTGAGTTCTCATCGCCTTTAGCAGCCGTTTCCAATCGCCGAATAATCGAAAGCGGCCTGCACCATGCAGAGTGCCTCAATGTTCTTCTGTTTAAGGCAATGTCAATTTTCGTAAGTGCCCCATGCCGACGGGGTGCGCTCGTGGGCAAAATGCAAAAAAATACTACTGGGAAACAAAATGTCGCCGTAACACATTTTGATGCCAAGAGCTCATGTCGGAAAGACACTCTTCCCCGTGACCAGAAACAAAAAAAAGAAAAATGTATCGCAAATCACCCCACAATTGTGTTGCTACGCGAAACGTTCTTGGCATAGCGCTAGTGGTTTAGAGTTAGAGTTAGTTAGAGTCAGTTGGAGTAAGAGCTACCGGTGCTAACTCCACCAACTCACGGTTACGCTTTTTGTAGCTTCACCCAATCCAAAAACCTAGCCTGAAAACGTCTCACATTAAGAAAGAAGCGACATGAGCAAGGTGGTCAGATGTCACCACCCTATGCAAAGTGCACACGAAGACATCCTAGCACTACACTTGTGTACCTTTCACAGATGTAACCGTAAGGGTAAGATGTGCCTCTGGTGGTGGCTCTGCTGCTTCAGCCAGACCCTCGCTTCTCATTTTGTTAAACTCACTCTATTTACGTAGTAGGGCTCTCCTGCAACACCTCCCGAATAACGAAGACAGGGGGCCGAATTTAGACAAAGAGGAAAATGCGGGACACGAATGCTACGTCAACGTTCGGCCGAGAATTGCGTCCCCACTGACCAAGCACGAGCCTTGGCCGAATGCCGACGCAGCGGTTCAGCCCTCTGCCCTCGTCACCTAAAAGACGTTGGCTCTGGCCGCAGCACGCAAAAGGTCGGCTGGTAGACTGACCTCGTCGAGGCTCATGCCAAGCTCGAAGCACTTGATCTGCTCGCCCGTGTCATTGTCGTAGATGCCCACCTTCCCCGTGCAGCTCTCGTCCACAGGGTTGAAGCCCAGGACGCTGTACAGCTCCAGCTCGTTCTCGTAGTCATCGGAAAGCAGGCTTTTCTGAGAGGAAAGATGGTAATTGGAGTGCCAGAAAAACGCCAAGCGATTGTTCTCCGAACCTCTTTTATTTTTATTTTTGCACAGCTATGGTCGCAGAGCTAGGGACAGGGGGGTGTGTTGGTGGAGGTAGCTCCACTGTATACGCTCCAGTACGCAGCAGAGTAGCGCCATTGATCTACGCTCGAGTTCGCCAACAATACGCGCTCCCTATTGGCTCACGGTGATTGCGTAAACGAAATTTTCCCGCGCTTTCGCAAAAGGTTCCAGTCTTTGCGGCGGGAGCATTGGCGTGGTATAGCCAGTCGTCGTTTTTGCAACATTTCGGGCGTTTGAAAGGGACCCAGATGCCAGAGTGCTGCGCTTTTTGGGTGTAACCATTGGCATGAGCCTGAAAAACAGCTTTAGTGTATCACGGAGGACGAGAAACGCTGCAAACAACGACTTTTGTGTCTGCTGCGGGTCAGTAGAAAGGGCTTCACTCCCACCTCTTGTACTTGGCTATGCGAGGTAAGTTATATTACTGCGATAATTGACGTAACAGAAGGCGAGCAATCGGAAGGGCGACGACGCTTGCCCGATCAACGCTTTCGCCGTTTCGTAACCTTCTTGCAGTTTGTATTTCAAACGCGGCTATTGGACGGTTGGAAACCCTCTCAAATCTAGGCACACTATTTTTCCGTTCCGTTTCGAATCCGAACTTGCGGCTTGTGGTTCTAAAGCAACGACTGCGACAACTCAGCCGGTTTCATCGGCCTGGTTAACGTGGTTTTCTTTTTGTGATCTTGCAGTGCCGATTTCTGTGAGTGTGGCAAGTGTGTTCTACATCGACGCTTCAATTTGAAACGAGAGGCTTTACTCGTGAAAAGAATTAGGCATGGTGCGGAAATCCAACCTTGCAACAATTCTCTGGAAGCAGCGCAAACTGAATGTTTCGGTTCTGATTCAAGGTTAGATTGTGTCACGACCATGATTAAATCTGCGTGCTATAAGGTTTGTGGAGTTTGTTACTTTTCTTCTTTCTAACCTGTGTGTTAGATTTCTGTAGAATAATAGGACCAACAGGTGTCTCTCGCATGGTCTGTCTAACATCACTGTGCTAACATCGGGAGAAAAAATGGCTCTTTCTTCAGCTCTGCGCCGACCGCGTGTCTTTGGCTGAATATATTGAATATTCGAGTGACCAGATACTAGGAAATCGATTCGCGAATTGAATTATCTGGGAACTTGTTATTCGATTCGAATTTGTATATTCGAGTATTCACACACCCCTACACGGAACGAAAGGTTGCGCTGCAGAAGTCGGGCATGGATTAAATCCCTACCCTTCCCATTTCGATCTGGATGAGCATCATACCTGCAGGCTTTCGTGTATCATTACTGCATAATGCATGTCACAGACCCCAGGCAAGCAGTTGTACTGCATTGGTTAATTGGAGAAACTCCACAAAAAGTCGGCAGCAGAACCGCAGAACTGCCGCCTACTCAAAACAGGGCCTGCTCTGTTTTCCGCTACTGTAATGTGGTTTGAGCTCAAAACAAGGCTTCTTCACTCGCTCAGACCATACCAAGTGATGCAAATGCTTTTAGAGTGCTTACCTATGATGTAAAGAACAGTTTGAACATGATAAATAGCCTAGATATAACGAAACTGCTGCTTTCTTTGATGCCCGGTATGTCCACCGTGCAAGAGTTGGAGCCTTTTCGGCATTCGCCGCTAGTCGCAAAGCGGGGGCGCTACAGGTATGGTGCCTCGATCGCGTCTTTGACTGGCGTGTTTAGCGCCCTATCCCGCCCATACATCAAAAGTGGTCCCAATGTGGCAACAAATGACGCGAATATCATGCTGTTGCCTGTCGCGATCCTGGCGGTTGGCCGTAGAAATGCTGGCGAAAAGCACGAGCGAACGCGAGTGTCGCTGTCGTCACGGCGTCGCTTTAGGCGTCCCAACTTCCGGCTGCCCTAGCTTCCGTGAACTGTCACAATGAAAAGCGACCTGCAGCAGAACAGGCGTCTGCTATTTTTACCACAACTGTTGGGACGCCGCCAGGGTCGCAATCGGTGATAACATGACACTTTTATGACGTCATCAGGCGGAAATCGAGGGACCACTTTTTTGGCCGCGGTAAACACACCAGTCGGAGGCGCGTTCCAGGCACCATACTACAGGTGGCACAACTCTGCTCCCTATGAAAGTATAGACAGTGGTGCTAGGCAGAGGTATGGAATGTGAAGGCATGCGAATGACTGGAAGAGGAGGGTAAGCTGAAAGTGGAGAAGGGTAACATGCTGTTTTTCCCACAAAAAACGTAAAAAAAGAAAAATTTATGTGAATGGCTGTTTGGCATTCTTCTGGAGCTAGCTTCATGAATCCCAAAAGCTTTTCTTCCTCTTCCAACTTTTAAAGAGCAGCTTTGTTGACAAAGTTGCTGGCTTTCATCGTACAGAGGCGGCTGTGTTAGACCATTCCCACTGAGTAAATCACCAACCTGGCCTCTTAGGCTCACCCGGACACACACATGGCCCCATAATTTTGTTTTAATGCGAAAGCATTAAAGGGAAGCTACGGAGCTTCTTGGAAAAAATGAGTTAGAAGTGAATTCTAGTGTATTTTTACCCCGTGAACCCGAATACCCAAACCATTTGCTGCGTAAGTATTGGTAAACGCGAGAAAAACGCGAAAGACAGTCGCTGTCCGTGACGTCATCGACGGCTCTTTTGGCTGCCCAAGGCTAGGGGGGCGGGGCTTCAGCCCTATTTTGAAATTGCTCTTGTGGCTCTCCGGCGCGTCGCATTGAAATATAATTTTGATATCTGTTATTCTAAAGGCCAAATGAACGCAATTCATGCGTTTTTTTCTCAAATGTAGAAGTGCCCCATCTTCCCTTTAACTGTCCCATGGAGCGAGATGACGTCATCAGTTTGAAGTGCGAAAACGGCACCTTGTTTCCCTGATCCCAAAAGTCCCATTGGCTGGCGTGCGGCAACGAGGCTCCCCATTGGCGGCTGCGCGCGTCAGTTTCAACAACCGTCGCCAGATGGCGCTGCACGTCCGTGCCGGCAGTGCGCCGATAAAACTAACCACCGCAACCCCATGCCACTACGGGCCCCGCGCCGGTTAAAGTGGACACGTTGGCGGGCGCTCGGAGGCTTCTGCTCGTCTCGACGGCGACGAACATGGCACCGCCTCTAGCATTTACATCGCCGGAGGGGCTTTTATGCTTTCGCATTCACAACTCATAAGACGTGCTTAGGTGTACGTCGAGCTTTTTCTTTCTCAATTTGGTCTGTTCCATTCATATACGTGTCCATTTAATTTTAAGTGAGGCAATTAAATGTACAAAACGTAGGGTAAAGCTTCAGCAAACGAAAATGTTGTACCTAGAGCTATGAAACTCCCATAAGCCTCAGGGCACCAGCAAACATTTCACTAAGAGACTTAGCTTCCTTGAGGTGCCCAATCATCATTGGTGACAGGAATATTGCCACGCGCAGGTTGCCGAGCGAGCGCGTGCGGGGCCGAGTGGTTAGCGCGCTTGGCTCCAGGTTCTATTCCAGGAGGCAATACTATGTTGACTTATTTATTCTTTCAAATTGGCGTTCTCGTAGGTTCGAGAACCTTCTTGTCTGATCGAGTTATGAATGTTCTACACCGAATGTTCCAGAAACCCAGGCAGGTACAAAAAGATGCTCCGCGTGGCGAGCCGGAGTCAGTCTTGCCCCAGCGTTCATCCTGCTGTTACGCCGCCATCGACGCCTGCGACACTAACCTTCTTTTATTTTGTTTTGGGCAAAAGTTTGCCCCATTAAACGTTTAGTTTGTCCAGTACTCTGTCGCCTCATCATTCGTCATTTGTGACACTATACGGTCCTCGCCTTAAAGTCGAAAAATCTTCTTAGACAAAGGATGGTAACATATGGGGGATGCCATTTTCAGTGTGCTTATTGGGCTAGGTGGACATTAGATGGGGAAATGATCGCCGCAATAATATTTTTTATTAACGAGCATCTTTCAATTTGGTTCTTACTTAATGGTTTTATGAATCGTGTTGCAACTGCAGTTTCAAAGGCAGTCATAAGGAGGAGACTGCCACGGTGAGATCCTAGGAGGTTCATCTTCACATCTTTTTACCATTATTGTGTTTTGTTGGGAACGTTTCGAGCCAAGACAGACGAAGCAAGAGTCCCCACCTCAACACACTGTGTGTTGTAGATGTCGAAGATGGACTTGCACTTGCGAGGCAATGGCTTGTCCACGCTTGCCTCCTGATGAACCTTTGCCAGGCTCTCTCGGAAGGTGATCTCAAAGCACTCCTTCAGCGACGGCTTGTTCTTCATGTTGGTCACCAGACGAAACACCCTGGTGAGTCGGTCGACAAACAACAAGACGCAATGTGTCATTTTAACAAAACGAGGGGAGTTTGTGGAAGCCTTAAAACAAAATCAACCAGAATCTGCAACTTGTATTTGACTCAATGATGATACGTATGCACAACTGTCTGCCCCTACCTGGCGACGCATTCCAGTTTCCCCGATAGAATCTTTTCTGAGTTAGAAAAGAATAAGTCAACTTACCCTCTTGTGTTTCTTTTCAGTATAGTGAGCAATAGTGGTATTAAAAAGAAAGGGCCGGGTGTTTGGAAGAAAAGAAAACCATGTTTTAAGCACCGCAAAAATAAACTGTGTAGCGCCCAAGTGTAGCGCCAGTGTTTGACCAACAGACATTGAAGTTTGAGAACTTGCTGTTTTCCAGTTACGAAGTTACTATGTTTTAGAGCGTAGCTCTTAGGCGTCCGTTTCCGGCATGAGCGGCGTCGGCGTAACCGCGCAGTGCATTATGGGTAAATTTCTCTGCTAAATTTAGCGGAAAAATTTCCCCGCTAAATCTAGCGGAAAAATTTCCCTGCTAGATCTAGCGGAAAAAATTGACCCGCTAAATTTAGCGGCAAAATTTCCCCGCTACATCTAGCAGAAAAAGTTTCCCCGGTAAATCTAGCGGAAAAAATTTCCCCGCTAAATCTAGTGGAAAAAGTCCTCCACTAAATTTAGCAGAAAATTTTCCCCTAAATGGGAGGCGAGCAGGAGTGGAGGACGGCATAGCCTCCTCACCGTACCTTACCCTCCTCCTCGTCAAGAGCTGCACTCTAATTCGGCGTTACAGGGCTTTCATTTTTTTGGTAATTTTCAATGAGAAATCAGCGGCAACCGAAACCCAACAATGCTTGGAGATGGATGGCATCTGCTGCCGAAAACGAGCCCCATTTGCACGTTGAAAACTTCCACGACTCGCTTATAACTTTCTAGTCGGATCTGGTTCCAAATCGCTGACACTACATTTGGGCAGAGCTGAGTGTTTGGCAAATGCATAGTTTAGAAGTGAGGTGGGAAAAACACGATTCTCCTTCCTCCCAAACACCTGGTATATGGCACTCTGCGCTAATAGCAATAAGTGATAACGCGAGAGAAGTCGTAAGTCCATCTTTCACCGCGTGATCACGCTACCGCCCAAACCCTCGCACCCCGAACAGGCTCAGGTGATGAAAAGGAGGCGGCTGATTGGTCCGGCAAGCGCGTAGCTCCCGCCGCACATTCAGCTTAGAAATGAATAGAGCGGGAGTCTCAAACACGCGGCCCGTGACTTGCTGGGACGCGGCCCGCAGGCAACTGGCTGCGAGTCCCAGTTTTCATGCACTAGAAATGACATGTGCCATAATGATCTTATCTCGCCGATTCATTTTCACTCAAAAAGTAGCTCTGCTCTGAACGTATTCACATGGTTTATACTCATCTGTGTTCATTTGCCCTTTGTTTTGCTTTTTGCTTCCCAGCTTTTTCTAATGTACAGCAATTCTGGTACTAGGCTGCAAGCGCGACCTCTTCATCGAAAGATATATCTCGGTTGTGCGAACTCTCGATCAGCTACCAGGAGTAACTGCCAAACATAAAGCTAAACCCTCAAGGAAGTGTGACGACAGGACTGGGAGCGAGATCCAGTTAATCGCGGCTTTCGACCAACGTACTTGATGAAATGCGAAGAGTTGTAGACGATGCGACCAGAGTCGTCCGGATGAAATGCGATAGAGTCCGGCTCCGTGCTCAGGTTTGGGAAGTCCAAGAATCCATTTTCGGCCAGTTCGTCCGATTCAACTGACTTTATCTGATCGTCCACGAGAGAAAAACAAGGCAGCGTTTTAGGGCTGACCCATTAGGGTACAGGTAGAATGAGTGTGTATTCTCCAAAACTAGCAGTGGAAGCCTACAATTTAGAACTATCAACTATCATAACAATGAAGGCTGACAAAATTATGGATGGACACAACTGATAAATGCTTAAACGCCTACTGATTTTTACATCAAACGACCAAGATGCAGCCAAAAAGTCAATAACTGCTTGAACTAGGAAGCCTTTGTCTCAGCAGTCTGCCAGCATCCACGATGATCAATCACAAAGGAGTCCGATATGCAAGTGATATAGCCACAGACATAAAATGACAGCAAGCTGCACCTACTGCATAAATAAACTGTTAAAAAGATCTGGATGTTGAAAAGATGTCTACTACTTTATAGACATCCCCTTTACGGTGTCTGTAGGGACACACAAAATACAGCAAAAGATCTTGCGCCGTCTTGGAGAAACACAAGGACTATAACATACAGGCTCATTCTATAAATCTAGGCTCAGAGATAAGGACATTGAAGAATCACTCAAAGTCCTATTAAACTCTTCACGGTCATTTTCTGGCTTGTGTCCTGCAGTTCATTACACATCATACTCCGTTTCCCAATAACTTGGCAAACCCGTAGCCTTTGGCGATCGCAGCCATGTAATAGACTGCTTCCGCTCAAAACGTCACGCTGGCATTAGCACCCGCCATAAATTCGGATTTAAATTGAGCCCATGCATGTCTCGTGAACTGTTCCTGAAGAGCTCGCTACTCTATAGCGACGGCAACGTTGCGGCGCTGGACAATCGTCCCAAGTTGGTTGGTTTCGCAGGAGACGACTTTTGGCCAGCAGACGACGGCAGGTTCCTCCGGGCCTTGCATTGGGTGCAGTGATACGGGCGCTCCCGTGAGCTGGGATCACGTGCCTCGCTCCAACGCTCTTACTGGGTGGGGAACATAGCCTCCACAGTTTGTCAAGTTATCGTGAAACGGAGCATACATGGTGGCATTAAATCTGTGCATTTGTAAACTAAAATGGCATTTACAAAAAAAGTATATTTTACGTAAGGCGCACTTACTTGAAAAACTCCTTCCCTGGACGGTGGACTAGATATGTAGTGCCAGGGGTAGCAGCCAAAATGCAGCATGAACTCTGAGCACTTCACCTCAAACAAGACAGGCGGTGGCTCTGAAACCCAGCATGCTTTAGCTTATCTTCAGACCTCAACAATGCGGCAATAAACCAGACACCATCTACCATAGTACATTTCGAGCACCTGGTATCTCTCTCAGACGTGTGAAAGTTATGTGATCGAAGGGACCGTAGAACAACCAGTTTCAGCATGGCTAGCTGGTGTTCGGAATAAACACTTGACAATCATAAAGTAAGTTACTGTTTACACAAAGTAACTGAAAAAAAAAAAATTGTGGAGGACACAATTGTTTTTTTTCTTTCACCAACAGGTGGTTGTCAGTACATGGCACATTCAATGTGGCCAAGGAAGCCTCCTTGCTCGAACCAGAAACAATTTGGATTCTCTTTAAGATGCACTGCAACGGGCAATAAAGTCTCAAGAAGTCCAGGAGACAACAGAGGGTAGAGGGAGTTTAAAGGCATCTGACATGTTACTTGAAGGTCAAGACAACATAAGCTCACAACAAAGAGAAGCTTTGTTGGACTTTGCAATTGCAGCTATTATGTCAGGGTGCCTTTCAACTAAGAAATAAAGAAATCTGGATCACCCTACCATTGAGCCTGCAGTTGAGCGGAAGGCCTGCCGGGTAGGTTCCCACCTTAGCACCGTCGAGATCACTGCAAGCTTCGTAAAGGTTTGCACGAAACATGCATGCCTAGAAGCAAAACAGAAAGAAGTTAGAAAGCACAGCCAATCAATGTCTAGTGGCTGTTTCCACCTCAGATCATACAAAGATAGTCCAGGTCATATCTTTCATATTTATGTAAAAAATCAATGTGTAAGCCATGTGCTTGGGAGGAGTATTCAGCTTTATGTGAATGCTGCAGCTAATTTTCTTCAGGAGATACGAAGTTTCGAAGCTGAAGGTGTGCACGTAGTAGTAATAATTTTTTCTATGGATTTTATGAGAGGATTACAACATCTACAGAGAATGTTAAAAATTATAACAAAAGATTTTATGCGCAAAAAGAAGCTTTGAAACATGTCAAGTAAACACGTCTTAGAGACACATTCACAAATTATTTAGTAACAAACTACCTTAAAGGCGGGCGCTCAAAATTTTCTTCAGCGTGGCAGAAGATTCCCCCTCTTTTCTTTTTTCCCTTCTCCCCCTTCCTCCTCCATTTTCCTCCTCGCTTTTTCCGGCCTTCTCGCACGAGTGCTAATGGGCTTACCGGCCCCCCGACAAAATCTCTGGAACCCTTCAAGGTTCTCTGCTTCAATCCCAAACATCAGGGATTAGTTAGGCAGGCTGGATATGAGCTCGGAAGGGTTCGGGCTGGCTCGCTTTTCGCTTTATTTTTTTTTACTCTTTCTGTGCAGTTCTAAAAGCCAACACCAACTAGCCCAACAACTTCTTTTACATTCAGATACTTCCGAATGCGGCCACACACGCTACAACACCGCATATTTATCTCAAGCGAACGGAACTTGAACATCACAGCAGAAGGAAAAAAGATGGGTATTTTTATCCGAACTTTGAGCTCTACCCAGAGAGTTGAAAATTTGTCGTTCTAACAACGGCACATTGAAGAGTGATTGTATCACTACTATGTTTTTGTTTTTTGTACAAACTAATAATCATGAGTAATTACAAGTCAAAGATATTGCAGTCAGAGGGACACAGTCTGACCATTTCTGGGGCATAATATATAGGTTCGTACTACAGGTGTTTTCTAGAGTGACGGCCGCCTCGTTGAAGCTACTAAGAAAAGTAAAAACAGACTTCCATAAAAACTGAAACGGTTTATGGTACATTTCATCTATCTTCAGCCTTTGAAAAAAATTTCTTCGTGGCCAAACGCGCATTTAGTTTCTGTCAACAAATGTAACTGAAAACTTGACACCCGACAAATATCTTGCGTATCAGCAAAGAGAACGGGAAACACGGAGATTGAACCGCAAAATCACAATTTTCTTCGCGTAAAATAGTGGAACTAGCAATAGTAGCATATTATGCCATTTATTAAAAGACAGCAGGTATTATTAGGTTTTCATTCTCTTCTGTTCGCATTTGTTCGCTGATGAAGAAATGGAATGCCCAGATAGCCTCTGCAGCCCTTAGATAATTGTTTGGGGCTTTGTCACCGGTCGGCGAAGGCCATCTCCAAAAAAACCCAGGAGTTCGGAAGGTGTGCTACCGCAAGTTTGGGGCTGCTTCGCTAATTTAGGCGTCTGGCGTTCCCCGCCTACTTAGAAAAGAAGCGGAACAGCGGTCAGCTCAACGTCGTCACCAAGCAGGAAATCATGCCGAAATGTGTCCCTGAACACGTGCGAGATCTTTACCCGAACCCAGCCGGGATTCGCCACAATTCATCTACGAAAAATACTATAAAAAGGGGTAGGCTTAGACGATTTGGCAGTTTTTGAATATATTCATGCGGACTAACTGTCCACAAGTACGGAAAGAAATGCAGTATAAATGCAGAGCTCTATTGTGTTCTTTATGTCCATACTTGTCTTTCGCGCTGTACGCCAATTAAAATGAATTCTGCAATATCTGTAGATTATGCCTGGCTATGTTGTGTTTAAAAGAAAAGTAATCAAGCAAGTTCGGTATCGTGCCACAATTTGTGCATATACAATTTTATGTGGAATTCAAAGTCAAAACAGTACTTCCGCGGGAAATAATGCATCCGTCGTTCTTCGTCTTCCTGAAGCTATGAACTACCGATCTCGGCTACAGGACTTTTGGGTCCACAAAATATCACGCTCAGTAGAAAATTCGCCTTTTCTACCAAAAGTGCTGGAAATAATTTATTTTTCACACAGGTCGGGTGGTGATGCGTGTTTGAGAGTAGGGCCGTTGACTGGGCACTGGTTTGCGCCAAGAGTGCAGTGCTTCCTTTCATGCTGCCCGCGACGAGTGTTGAAATTTGAATATAGTAGAAATAAAATCAACTGACACCCTTAGAATTATTTTAAACTTGCGCTTTCTTCAGGCATTAAGATTTTGATCGTACCTTTTATTCATTGTCGTCTTCAATGAGGGAACAACTTGCCGAGGAGGCCGCGCTGTCCGCGTACGCGGCTTGACAGATAAGGTCGCGAATGCTTTTCACGAATCTTTAAAGACCAAGCATAAAATTGAAAGACGCAGCCACTTTACGCCAACGAAACCAACTTTATGTTTTGGGCAGACGTCTTGCGAGAGTTGCAGTATTTTAATTATGTCTAATAAATTAAATGTTTAGGACTAACAACCAAACTTTTTTAGATGTATTAAGAACCAAAATGTCAAATGGAAAGTTCAAGAGCTGCTTGAGAAACACCCGATTAGCTGTTTGCAACGTGATACGGCTCGCGTGGCTTCCTTCTGACTAGTATTAAAGCTTATGAAACATGACAAAATACCCCGTGATAAAGCGCCCGCCCCATCATAAACTCAATTTCGAATGTCCCGGGATTTGTTTTCATAGGCCGGAAAAAAAAGAAGAGATGCATGCAACACGCGAGCCCCACGCTTTATTTATATCAGAGAAGAACTGCCCTCTGTTTTATATACAACATTTTTTTTTTTTTTTTCACCTACTAGATATTAAGAAAAAAACGTGGAAATTAACGTTTTGTGGATGTGAGCTATACGGCCAGGCGAAGATTGGGTTCAAGAAAGAACGCAACAAAAACCGACTGATTACGTAACATTTGTTAATGAACTTTTTGATTATAAAGGAAAACGGGATAGTTGATTTATAAAGTTGTTGGGCGTAATCGAAAGCCACCAAATTGTCCAGTGAAAATTAGCGCCATTGCGGTTTGTGGGTGAGCTATACGGCCAGGCGAGGATTAGGTTCAATAACAAACGCAACTAAAACCGACCGATTGCCTAAAATTCGCTAATTAACCTTTTAATTAGAAAAGAAAACGGCATCTTGTATTTAGAAAGTTGTTGGCCATAATCGCAAGCCACTAAACCGTCCATTCTTAAAAAGATGTAACGCGCGTACACTATTATACGGCGTCCTCCTAATTTGAGCGCGAAAATATAGTTCTGATTTTATGTGGGCTCCATCTCCGCGTAGCTCAGTTTAACGCCATGAAGCCAAAGCGACAAATCATGCGCATCGCTGTGACAACGCCACTGTAGAAGGGGCGAGGAGTGCGGTGGCCGAAAAGATTGCGGTAACACGATTTGCGTCCAAATTAGGCTTTTTAGGACGCCGTGAACCACTTCACGTGCACTACATCTATTTAAAAATTAATGACTTGGTGTTTTTGATGACGACAAATAAGGCACAAACCGCAATTGCGTAACTCTGACGTCTATTTTAAAAAAAAATGTCTCGTCGTTAAAAAAAAAAAATCGCCCTGTATAAGCACGATTGTAAGGCAGTTCTTTACGCCCGGCGACATCATTACGGCATGGAAGGAGACGTTGACCACAGATCACACGCTGTGTATGATCTGTGGTCACTGTTTTTTTTTGTTTTTTTTTTCGTACGAGAATGAGCAAACATTTGATACCAAATAAAATAGATTTAGCATTCACCAAATTCGGCTTGTTTACTTTATTCAAATGGATATTTGATTTGATTACACTTATTTTGTACCTGCACACGCCTACTTTATTCCCTGATGAGTTACAAGTGATAATTACATTTTTTTTTTGTCGTGCGAGGTCATCACAATTTATTATTACAATCGAAGCTATGCGATTATGCGGAGGAGGCGCATTTGGAGATATTAAAAATTGGTCTGAATACACAAACAACTTCAAACGACTTGCTGTTTGGGTCGTTTCCTACACGCAGGACCAATAATAAAGCCAAAACCTTATAGAGGAGACTATCTCTATCAACTCAACGCACAAACACGATGTGAAGCGTGCCTGCGTACGTTGGAAAAGAGATACCGGCGAGCAAACCATAGCTTCGACTGTCCAGGCATCAAAATGTCCGTGCACCGAAATATCCGCGCACCGAAAAGTCCCACACCGAAAAGTCTTTGCAGCAAAAAGTCCGTACACTGAAATGTCTGTGCACCAAAAAGTCCGCACCGAAATGCCCTACAGCAAGACGCTCTACACCGAAAAGTGCTAGACCCACTGCGGATGGGATCCTCCGTCACCTCTGCCGGTTTACGAACCATGATGATTCAGAACCACTGGTCTATGGAGCGCCATCCCTGATATACAGAAAACGCCGCTCGTACTTCCCGTTGTCGCCATGAATCCGCCTAAACAACGAAAGATGCCAAATCAGATATTTATATTAAAATTGATACTTCAATGACTACTTCTTTGAGCAGAACAAGGTATTTGTGCTCTCACAACAGCAAAGAATCGTCCTCCAAACCAATGCTAAAAAAGAGCCAATGCAACTCGTCGGGAAGAGCAAGTGCCAAGCTCGCTCAAAACAGCTACTCGGTTGGTTCAGCTCTTTGACGCAGGTGTGCCGGCTGGCTTCTGGATAATCTTTTCAAATCCTTGAAGCTTTCATTTCCTCCACCCCAAACTTGTCAAAAAAAACAACAAAAAAAACCGGCAGCTGGCAAAAAAAAAAAAAAAGAAATCGGAAAGTGGTGAGGAGGAAACGAGAGGCGATTTGCTCCTTTCACAGTGGCGAGAAGGAAAGTGAGGGTCGGCTTCCTTCTCTCTGCTTGCGGGCCGGCCTTTAAAAGAAAAGGTGCAAAATATATCAAAATGAGCATCTTCAA